TTTTAAATCTGCCAGGTATCCAAAAATCAATCTTTTATTCGTTCCTAATGTACAAAACTATTTTCCTGAGAGACATTTCCAGATGATGCCTCAGTGCATGACTACTACCTACACAGAAGAAAATTAAATTATTTTCATCTAAGTGTATTACAGAACACATTCAGATCTGATTAACTGATAACCATCAAATATTTTACTGAAAAGATGTGCACTGGTTTCTTCTTTTCAATCAATAATCAAACTTTCCAGTAGTTTTACTACATGTATGACATAATTCACTGTAGAATTATTATTATTTTTCTATATTGTACACAAAAAATATGTTTTCAGATGAAAATAAACTGTTGACACAGATACATTGTATATGTCTCGCATTTTGTAATTTTGATGATATAATGCAAATGTTGAAATCAAAACAGTAATTTTTAAACATGTAAACTATGTAAATCATTCAAAAGTCAATGAATCATGAATGAAGATACAGGGCCAAATAACCTCCATGGAAATGTGAAATGCAAATGCTTATAAAACTGCATACCAAATGCCATTGACTTATCATAAGTAGTTCCCTTTATACTAACCTAAACATGCTAATCACAAACTTTAACTTGTAAACTTTGCAAAAAAAAAAGTTTCAAAGGCAATAAACCATGAGGGGGTGGGGCCATATAATCTCCATGGAAATGAGACTTGCAAATGCCAATACAACCGCATACCCAAAATCATTGACTTAGCATTAGTCGTTCATCTCAAACTGATCTAATGGCAAACATGATTACCATGTAAATAATGCATAACATTCAAAGTCAATTAACCATGACTAAAAGGGGGAGCCAAACAATCTCCACAGAAATGAGATGTGCCAATGTTAATACACTTGCATACCAAATATCATTGACCTACTACTACTAGTTCCCCTTAAACTGATCTAATCACAAAACTAATGCATGTAAACTAAGCAAAATTTACAATGTCAAAAGACCATGACTGAGGGGGTGGGGCAAAATAATAATAAGTCGACACAAGACAAAAACAATTTAGAATTTAATCAGCCTCCAGTTGAAAATATTTTTGGCCTTCAAACTGTTTTGATGAGTGTTATGTGGATGAATTGCTCATCTAGCATAATAAATTATTAAAGCAGGACTTAGTCATGTTAGTTGCTCAAAACAATTGACCTGGTCACCAATACATAAGACTTGTCCACTGGCGTTATTCACTGGACAACAGTTATCCAGTGGACAAAAGTTTCAAGTCCTGGTATCCTTGACAACCTTTTCCTTATTTGATATATTCTTTTTTAATATAATTTTTCTTTATATTTGTCCTAGAGTAGACATATGCAGTCTAGTAAACTTTGCATGTCAACTGCAATGTAACTCTTTATGATTAAAAATAACTATTAATATGTTCCCCTTGTTATGTTAAATTGGAATGCTCTATTAGACATGGTGGTGTGGAACTAATACAGTCTTGTTCAAAATTATATTTGTTTAATATACATGTACAATGTAGTTATTTCATATAATCTACTTTTTCTGAGGGATAAAACTCTCTCAATTTTTTTTTATATTCACACTGTTGTAGTCCAAAGATAAATATGTAGGCCATGTAGACATTTTTGGCCTGAATTCTAGGAAAGGTTTACAGTCCACTGTTCAATATAAAGGTCTAACAGATATTTTAGGCCTTAATGTTTAGGAATATCAATAGCCTGTATATCAATGTCAAGGTTAGAGACATCAACAGCCTTTACATCAATGTCAATGTTAGAGATATCATCAGCCTGTACATGAATGTCAAGGTCAGAGATATCAACAGCCTGTACATGAATGACAAGGTTAGAGATATCAGCCGCCGGTACATCAATGTCAAGGTTACAAGTATTCCTGAGGTTGAATGTGCCAGAAAATATGTACTAAATACATTAACTGGGACACCAGACTGGATCATTTCAACTCTAAAAGCCAACTTGATCCCTTCCAAGGTTTTGCCCTTTAGGTTATCGTTGCTTTAATATTCGAGATAAGTTTTCATACTCTCAATAATTTATTTAACAAAAGGTTCCATCCATCAATCTGCCCATTTTCTACATTAACTAATAGATCAATACTTGTCCTGTACAGATAATTATAAAGTAATATACACTTCCCTATAGGTCTAAGGACATAAAACACTATAAGATATTGTATTATATATAGCATTTCCTTCATCACAAATGAAATTCATTACTATTTCCAGTTTTTTTTTTCTTTTTTTCTGAATCAATACTGTTTCTTTCAGAGAATACTTTTGAAGGTGTTCATATGAAATTAGTATTTGCAGTAAATGTGAGTAAGTGCTTTACAATGAAAATAAAAGAATGTGTCTGAGGACACAACCCCCCTTTCAAGCTTGCTTATAATACATGAAAATACTTTTTTAGAGCATTTGATCTCGCTGCAGAAACGAATTTTTTTTCAATTTTACAAGTTATAACGGCATAACTCTAGAATGGGAAGTGACTCACTGCACAAATTCAAACTCTGTCTGCAAGTTTTAGTTCTTAGCAGTGTGTACGAGTTTCATAAAATTTGCACAAAGCAAACTTAAGTTAGAGTGCAGAAATGAAAAATTTTGCTATTTTCCAAGTTATAAAGGGGCATAACTCTAGAACAGTTAGTGACTCAATGCCCAAATTGAACTCTGTCTGCAAGTTATGGTTCTAAGCATTATGTTTGAGTTTCATAAAATTTGGTTGAGCAAAACATAAGATAGAGTGCAGAGACGAAAATGGGAAGGATGGATGGTCAAGGGTAACTCTTTTAAATGTAACCTTCGCCTAGTGGCAAGGGCATAAAAAATATACAAAGTTACATTATTTTATCTATACAGCCTAAATCAGGAAAAACAATGCTGTTCTTCTCATGCAACAACAGTGATTTATCCAAGATTTTCAAAAAGGGGTAGAGAACTGAAGGGACCCACTGAAATGTTTGCTAAAAAGGGGAAGGGTGCAACCTCACTTGGGCCCCTGTACCTCTTTCAATTAAAATATCCCATGTAATAAATTAAAACTTCTAATACATTGCTCTTTCAAAGTACTTTTTGTCATGGGAACAAGTTTTCATTGCTATGTCAGTTTTGCTGATAATTGAAATTATCCTAATTTTATAATAAATAAATTGCTTCGCTGAGCGCAGCTGTATACGACCTCAGATGTCCAACCCTGAAAAGTTGGGGCCAAAATGGACACAATATTCATGCTTGATACAGGTCTGAATTTGGATTGTAATAAAATTTTGACACATAATAGGTTTCTGACACAGAAAAACTGTAGTCAAAGAACTTCAAATTGGTTATATGATTTGAATTTATATTCAATTTTTTGCTTTTGTGCAATACACTATGCTGTTGAATATTAACCCCCCAAAAAATTTTTTTTTTTTAATTTCTGAAATCTGAAATGAGAAAGATTGTCCCCCTCCAATATTTTTTACCTCCCCCCTTTCCCCTATTCCAAAAAATAATTCTTTCCCTCAAGTTATGGTCAGTATCTCAGACAGTCATCATTTCTTAATACAAAATTAACAAGCAGTGTAAGGGAGGTAATCAAACATTGCTATTCAAATTCATTTGGATTTGGATTACCTCCCTTACACTGCTTTTAAATTGTCTCAATTGTCTTTTAACCAGAAAAACCCTTGTTTTTCCCCTTTTTTTTGCCCCTAATTCCTAAATGGTTTGAGCCATAACCCTCCAAAGTCAATCCTAACCATCCCTTTGTAGTATGGAAACTTGTGGTATAATTTCAGAGAGATTCATACACTTTAACACAAGTTATTGTCTGGAAACTACAAAAACGCTTATTTGGGCCCCTTTTTTGGCCCCTAGTTCCTAAACAGTTGGGACCATAACCTCAATCAATCCCAACCTTCCTTTAGTGTTTATAAACCTTGTGTTAAAATTTTATTGATTTCTATTTACTTATACTAAAGTTATTATCCGGAAACCATCTGTCTTCGGACGACGCTGATGACGACGACGACGTGATACCAATATACGACCAAATTTTTTTTAATTTTTGCGGTCGTATAATTATGTTATAATACAATTTTCCATATAATTAATAATTCCAAGGGCATAACTATTTTACAAATAGTTGATCTGCACAGATTTTCCAAATGGTGCAAGACATTGATGATATAAATCTTTGAAAAAAATCTGGCAAGAATTGTACACGAGAGTGTTTACCATGCAACTTTCCATATGATTAATATTTCCAAGGTGCATTAATCTTTTTAAAATAGTTGATCGGCACTGACTTTCAAACTTGTCTGAGACATAACTGATATATAACTGATATAAACCTATGATATAAGTTTTATACAAAATCTGGCAAGAATTTTACACCTCAGATCGCTAACAAGACTGGGCAGACAGATGCACAGACCAATACGATGCCCAGTATTTCTATGTTCCCTGCAATGTGTTGCACGGGGAACAAAAAAGTCAATAAGGAAGTGCCCAATTGGAATTCTAACAAGTCTTATTCCATTCCAATGTAAATTGTTGATTTTTTTAAGAAAAATCCTTTTGCTATATTTGAAAACCAAATCAAATTCCAATACAAAATAAGTAGGAGGTCACAACAGCAACCCAGATAAAGTTATCTATCATATTTGGTTCTGTTTTAAAGTATAAACTTCCACAATATATCATCCTTCTCCATTATAATGTGACGGAGACCCCACAATATATCATCCTCCATTATAATGTGACGGAGACCCTCACAATATATCATCCTTCTCCATTATAATGTGACGGAGACGCCCACAATATATCATCCTCCATTATGATGTGACGGAGACCCCCACAATATATCATCCTTCTCCATTATAATGTGACGGAGACCCCCACAATATATCATCCTCCATTATGATGTGACGGAGACCCCCACAATATATCATCCTTCTCCATTATAATGTGACGGAGACCCTAAGAATAATCACATGTTTTACCTGTCTCTCCCTTGAAGCAACACAGACAGCCAACACAACATTTATTCCTGGATTTTTTCTTTCTATTGGTTTTCCTCAACTTCTGTAATTTCTTATATTCCTTATTTTTATTAATTTCACATATGGATTCATGTGATCCCTTTCCCTTTAAAAGTTTATAATCTTGTTTTTCATCGTCATCTTGTGAGCTGGTTTCTGATTGGTCAGACGAGGTGACCAGTGGCCAAGTTGCCGATTCTTCCTTATTCATGGATCAGATAAATTTTACATCATGTACAACGTAAATAAACCATATCCACTGTTAAATTATATTCCACTTTAAATCCCATAAAACAAAATCATGAATATCGGAAAACCTAATTAGCTATTAAAACTACTGGAGTAAAGTAACATATGATATGTTTGTTCCTTTTATTACACAGAATTGGAGACAAAACAGGTTTTTTGTTGTAAGTCAACATTAAGTAGTAAATCCTCATAAAACAGGTTTTATATTGAACATGTGTTATTCCATGTCATTTGAATTAATCAACAAATCCAATATCTATAGAGTAATACAGATGAGAGACTGGGAATTGTACACTTTTTATGCATATTGTTTAATTAACTTTTCCTGCATGTAACTATAGATAAAGGTAAAACTTAAACAGTCCACATTTGAGTAGACATCTCATTATACCAAAACTATAGTTACATGTATCTTGCAAGTTTTTGAGATATTATATTACATGTTATAAAACACTATCATATTTCGTTATACAATTAGCCAAGCATTTCACTAAGTTTGTTTACATTATCTTATCCTAAAAAATGAACATTAGCATGTAAATACATATGACAATGTATACCATTATAAATCACAATTTTCTGTTAATCCTTCAAATCCACATTTAAGTTACAAATAATAAAATATTTCCTTTTCAAATATCAAAACATGTTTTTATATAAATGTATAAAAAGAACACATATTCTATATAGTGTACAGTAACACAACTTTCCCTACAGTTCATGTAACCATGGTCTAAGCAGAATAAAATGTGTTTAACAAGGAATTTCTACTTGAGACAACTGAATAAATTCACAATTCAAATCCACTTGCTATTCTATTATCTAGAAGAAACAAATTATGTTTCATTCAAATTTGATCATCAACAAGAACATGCTGTACCATCACCTTTAAGCAGTTTATCATTTTATAATTTCTACCATTTGATGAATTTTAATATCCATTAAAACCAAAGCCTTAAAGCATGTAATAGATATACATTTAATTATCCTATAAATCCACCTGTTATTCTCTCCATTTTAATGTTATTTCATTCATATCATATATCTATCAACTATTTAAGTTTCACTAATGTTCTCTGGAGCATATGTTTATCTTCCATGCTTTTTGTCTCCCACCTGTTTCTATATAATGCTGTGAATTCCTATTATTTTCTCGTTCATTCCTATTATTTTCTCATTCACTCCAATATTTACTTTTCTGTTTGCTTTTCTCATGCTTCTTATACTTCTGTATCATGAAAAAAAATCCCCTTCCAAAATCACTTAAGGAAAATCTTATTTCTGAATTTCCAATAGTATGTACCTATTTGTTTAGTAGTTTTTAACAGGTTGTGACTTAAATGTTTTATCTATATTCTGTTTAACACTACTATCATGTTTTAAAGTGATGCTTATATATTACAATTCGATCAAAGCCACATTTTTTTTACATTCATACATGTATATAATATATATCTATTTCTATATAAAAGCAAATTTGTTAAACATTTATCCATTATCTGCATTTTTCTAACGAAGAACCCCCTAAGGACCCACAATCAATATAAAAACACATTTTTTTCTTCATCAAACTTTTATATGGTAATAAGTATGCTCCATAAAGAATGATATCCTTTTGCCATCAACAAATAAAATTAGGTCTGAATAGAGCTGCCACACAATGAAATCTCTCATGGCATAATATAAGTAACAATGATTTTAATTAGTGTGACTGATGCGTAAGAACAGTACAGTCTACCACTCTTATCAAAGTGGGAAAAAGTAACCTAATTCTTTCATCTGAGGGGGAATTTTATACAATAAGTGAAAATCTGAGGTCAGTTCCTTTTTTTAGAACTGTCTGCTAAGCTCAATTACTGTGAATTCAGAATTTATTGCACTGTTTTTATACTAAAATTGCGGTAGGATATATTTTTCAATAATAAAAATTTGCATTTTAAGCATTTCCTACAATTGTGATAACTAATGTCCATTTTTCAACAAACCCAATAAATAAATATGGTCCTTTCTATCACCATGCTCAGTCACTCCATAATTTTTGTATCACAACATTGAAACATGAGCAGGCATTATCATCTTTGTACTAATGTCATGAGGAGAATATATCAGTGATGTCACAATGTGTGAGAATATATCAGTGATGTCACAATGTCTGAGGAGAATATATCAGTGATGTCACAATGTGTGAGAAAATATCAGTGATGTCACAATGTGTGAGAATATATCAGTGATGTCACAATGTGTGAGGAGAATATATCAGTGATGTCACAATGTGTGAGAATATATCAGTGATGCCACAATGTGTGAGGAGAATATATCAGTGATGTCATAATGTGTGAGGAGAATATATCAGTGATGTCATAATGTGTGAGGAGAATATATCAGTGATGTCACAATGTCTAAGGAGAATATATCAGTGATGTCACAATGTGTGAGGAGAATATATCAGTTATGTCACATTGTGTGAGGAGAATATATCAGTGAGGTCACAATGCATGAGGAGAATATATCAGTGATGTCACAATGTGTGAGAATATATCAGTGATGTCACAATGTGTGAGGAGAATACATCATGGATGTCATAATGTGTGAGGAGAATATATCAGTGATGTCATAATGTGTGAGGAGAATATATCAGTGATGTCACAATGTCTAAGGAGAATATATCAGTGATGTCACAATGTGTGAGGAGAATATATCAGTTATGTCACATTGTGTGAGGAGAATATATCAGTGAGGTCACAATGCATGAGGAGAATATATCAGTGATGTCACAATGTGTGAGGAGAATAATAAATATCAGTGAGGTCACAATGCATGAGGAGAATATATCAGTGATGTCACAATTTGTGAAATGAATATATCAGTGATGTCACAATGTCTGAGGAGAATATATCAGTGATGTCACAATGTGTGAGGAGAATATATCAGTGATGTCACAATGTGTGAGGAGAATATATCAGTGATGTCACAATGTCTAAGGAGAATATATCAGTGATGTCAAAATGTGTGAGGAGAATATATCAGTGATGTCACAATGTGTGAGGAGAATATATCAGTGATGTCACAATGTCTAAGGAGAATATATCAGTGATGTCAAAATGTGTGAGGAGAATATATCAGTGATGTCATAATGTGTTTGGAGAATATATCAGTGATGTCACAATGTGTGAGGAGAATATATCAGTAATGTCACAATGTGTGAGGAGAATATATCAAGCTTGCTTTAATCAAGAGTAAATCTGTTATGGAGGGGGAAAAGAACCAGAAATAAAAAGATAAAACTGATTATCTGGTTTTCTTATTATAAAATTTCAGCCTCTCAACACAATGTGAAGTTTTTTTTACTTGTTCGCTGGGCTCAGTTACCGGTATCAAAAGAGGTTCACAATGCAGCTGATATGTGCCCTCAATTTTTTTTTGAAAAAATGTAGTTTTATATGAAATGGAAAAAATCACAAGTGATGAATACTTTTGGCCATGTACTGTAGTTTTCAAAGTTAGGATTTGAAAATTTGATATTTTACGATAAAGTACCATTTCTTTTTTTTGTTATTTAACATTTACTTAGTTGGACAATGATTTAACAAAACTTTAATGTAATTAACATTAAAGTATTTCCAAAGAATATCAAAAAAGAATAATAATTTGTCCTTCTAACATTGCCTTACACAAAAAATACAATTCTTTATTTCATAATTATATTCACTAGTACAATGGACACCTTACCATCAAATTTTGCTATCATCCTCTTCATAATTGTTCTTTCTCTTTTTAATCCTCTAAATTTGATAACTTAACTGATTTCAAAGCCATATAAAACAAGCATTCTGTGAGTATTGCATGGCAATACATAGTCCCCTACCGGTTACAAATTCATTATAATGGAACGAAATTCTAACTTGATCTATAACTTGTCATGGTGTAAACTACATAAAAATATCAAGTCAAAATCTTCAAGCATGAGGAAAAAAACTGTTGAAAACTGATTATTTAAGTGAATTTTCTATGTCCAAAGACCATAACTTGGCACAAAATTATCAGACTGGAACAAAATTCCAACTTGATCTGTAACTTGTCATGATAAAACTATATACTAATTATCAAATCAATATCTTCAAGAATGACAAACAAACCTACCACTAAATTCTTCAAACAATTTACCAAGGAAAAGGGAAAAAAATCCAAAATGTCATTTTGTCTTTTAAAAAATGAGTTATTTCCCTTTGAACAGAAATCTACTAATTAATAAGTATTTCATCAAAAATTTAATTCTAGGGAAAGGGCTTTAACTGAACAAAGAGAAAAGCTAAAATCGTGAAAACTTGTATAATAAATCAATAAACCAAATATCAAATCAATATCTTCAAGCACGAAGAAAAAAAGTCTGGAAAACTGATTTGCCGGACTGACAGATGGACAGACAGACAGACAGAAGGACAGAGTGCAAACCTAAAGTCCTCTTCGACTTGTCGGTAGGGGACTAATAAAGATATGTGGTAAGAATGCAAATGGGACAACTATCCATATTAGTATTTTAAGCAAAAGAGCTGTAACTCTTGTCTGACATAAAAAAAAAATAAACAGAACCACCACATGGAAGGAATAAGTCAAAATATATAGCTGGCATAGCTGAGAAAAAAACTATTACAAGAAAACAACACTCAAATATTAATAAACATGTATGTATGTAATTCTCAATAAAAAACGAGTTTCAATAAAAAAATAAGGAGATTTGGTATGCTTACCAATGAGAGAACTATCCACCTGAGTTCAAATGAAGTGGATTTTTGTTTTTTTATATTTCATAGAGGGTGCTTACCTTTTCCTTATTCAAACACCTTTTATTCCAATCAGGAATTTGAGAACAAATACCATCAGGCAACTGCCAGAAAAATAAATACCAACTGCAAGATATCAACTTGGTAAACTTTTTGCCAACATCATCAATTAATCTTCAATTATTTCAGTTAAAACATCCCTTTTGAAAAATTGTCACGTGTGGACGCCATCACAAGTTGGTTGACTGTTATAACATATCTGTTTCACAGATGACAAGGGTTACACATATATTCCAATTGTTGTAACTGTTATGATATTGTAATTATTATATCTTTTTATCTTGGCCTAATTTGTTTTGTGTGGCCTTATAGTTATTTACAAAATAATGTTATAACTGTGCAGTTTAGAAATCACTGGAACAATCACAGATACTGATGGAATGATTAGAACTTTCTATTTGACTTACATAATGATTCCAGAATGATCATAATCTACCCTGTGTAATTTAAACTTCTACCGTATTCTAGAAGTTTCCCTTCTATAGTTTTCTAGGAGTTTCCCTTCTACAGTGTTCTAGAGGTTTCTGTGACAGCTATATATACCGAAAACGAAATTGGACAGATCAGACATTAATATTCTT